ATCCTCTCCTCACGCATTTACATAGTAAGCAGAGAGAGCTGGTGAGCAGCTGTGCTTGCAGCCATCGGCACCCAACCCAAATAAATTCCGTTTTTATGAGTTAAGCATCGAAATGAAAAAGAAAATTCAGCATTTAAATAGAGCAGCTGAAAATCCCCCGCTGAGGCAAATGTTGATTCAGCTCCGGAGAGGCTCTGCTGGCTCGGGCTCGGTGGGACCAGAGCCTTTTGTTCACCATGGATGGGAGCTGGGCAGGAGGCAGCTCTGGGGCCCTCAGCAGCCTCTGCAGGGAGAGAATGGGGAATTGTGAGCAGGGATTGTCAACAGGAATTGTGAGCAGGGATTGTGAGCAGAAATTGTGTCCTTTGGCTTGGGGAGATATTCAGTTTAATAATATCTCAGGGAGATATTGAGGAATTGTGGGCAGNTTCCCAGCTTCCCAGGAGAAGAATCCTGGGCAAAGAGGATTTTTCAGAAAATGTGACGGTGGCATTGTTGGTTAAAGGACAGGTTTGTGACCCTGTTGATTTGACTCTCTGCCTCTCCCCCCTCAGGGCTGAAGGTGAGGGAGGTCTCCATCAATGTGACGAGGCAGCAGGTGGAGGATTTCCACGGCCCTGAGGATTACTGGTGCCAGTGCGTGGCCTGGAGCCACCTGGGCACCTCCAAGAGCAGGAAGGCGTCGGTGCGCATCGCCTGTGAGTACAGCCTGCCCAAACCCTGCTCCTCTGGGGCTCTGAGGGTGGGAATGCTGCTTTTGGGGTGAAATACAGTGAGTACACCCTGCTGAAACCCTCTGGGGCTTTGAGGAGTGAGTGGGAACACTGTTTTTGGGGTGAAATACAGTGAATAAACCCTGCTGAAACCCTCCGGGGCTTTGAGGAGTGGGAACACTGTTTTTGGGGTGAATGACAGTGAGTACACCCTGATGAAACATAAAAATGTCACTGGGAGCTGCAGAAATGGAAATGCTCCAAATGCCCCATAGACAGAAGGACAGCACAGACATAACCCCAAA